CCTCACTCAGCAATTCTGTATAGGAATGACTTCTTAACAAGGTCTAAATGTGGTAAAATCCACCATAATCTCACCTCTGACTATTATGGCTAATAAAAAAACAAACAAATAAATAGCAGACCACACCTCAAAATATCAATTATTTGTGGAAGATTTCCCTATCTGACAAGAACTACTGGAAAAACCAGAAAGTAGTTTGGCAAAAGTTAGGTTTAAACTTCCATCAGATACCATATATCACAATTAACTCAAAAGGGATATAAACCCTTAATATTAAAATTCACACCATTTAAAAAAAATAAAAAAGAACCATATCATGAGATGTAGAGAACTTTCATGGCTGTGATTAAGTGGGAGAATTCTTAACCAAACAAGGGATAGAGGGGAATCACAGAAGACAAAACCAATAGTTTTGAGTACATGAAACTGAAAGGCTCTTGCACAAAACAAAACCAATATAGAAAAAATAATAAGGGAAGCTGTTAATTGAAGGGGAAAATGTATACATGTGTGTATGTGTACATTTGTATCAAATATTTCTGAGAAATGTCTGACATCCACGATATATAGGAAACTAATAAAAATTTGTAAATCCAAGGGACATTCCCCAATAGATTAGTATTAAAATGCTCTCAAAAGAAGGATTGCAGACTAGTAATAATCATATGAAAGACTGCTTCAAATCACCAAAATGAGAGAAATGCAGGTCAAGACAACTCTAAATTTTGACTCACTCCCCAAATAGGCAAAGATGACAATTGATAAAGATACCCCATGTTGGAGGGGCTGTAGAAAGACAGGCACACTTGTTAGTAGAACTGTGAATTGGTTCAATCATTTTGAAAAGCAATTTGGAATGATGCAAAGGAAGTGTCAAAAAATACCCTTTGATCCAGAGAGCTTACAGTTAGGCACATATCCCAAGGAGATCCAAGTCAGAAAGAATAGCACTATATACACTAAAATTTTATATAAGCACTTTTTTTTTGTGCACTTAGCAAAGAACCAGAAAGAAAATAGATGTCTACTGACTAAACCGATTGTGATAATTAATGTAATGGAATATTACTCAGGTGTAAGAAATGATGAATATGAAGATTTCAGGGAAGCACTGCCACCCTTCTAGGAAGTGGGACAAAGTAAAACAATCAAAATGAAGAAAACAATAGACCAAATGATTACCACAATACTAATGGAAACACATTTAAAAACCCCCAAAATGAACACTGTTCAATTCTAATGACTATATGTTGGCCTTAAAGAAAAGCCGAGGACATTATTTCCTTCCATTTGCTGAAGAGTTCCGGGACTCTGGATGTGGAGGATTGCATAAAAATGGAGGGGGGAAGAGACTATGTACAAAACTAAAGGTAATATATAAACAAAGTATATATCAATGTGCTATTAAAATACTAGAGTACAGTCGTAGAGATAGTCAGAAGAACCACCAAATTTTATCCTTCTCTAAAGTAAGCCTATATCCTTTTACTGGAAACACAACTCTCCTAGCCAAGAACATGGTTAGTTAAGTATTCAATTATCTTGTGCTGTACCCAATACAAAAAACTAAACATGCTTCTGATGACTTAACTTGACATATTTCATAAATATTTGTCACAACAATTATTGTCAACTACAATGCAATTATACATATTCAATTTGATGACTCAACTGGAAAATTACTTTTTTCCTAATAAAATGTTACCAAGTGACAATAGTGAATCAGTGTTGACTAGGTGTTCAGTGACTGCTAATTAATTATCATAGGTAAATTTAGCTCTGTGTTAATAACCTTGAGAAAATAAAAAGCTTCCCCCAAACCAACCAACTTAAATACAATGAACCTGTACACATCAATCTTTATCTGGAAAGAAGTGGGATCTAGTGTCTGATTTGCCCTCTTCAAACCACACACAATGAAAAAGAAAGCTCAAGTACTTGAGGCTGATGTCATGGATTATAAGACAAGAGGCTTCTTGTTCTTTTGGGGAGAAGCTTTGATACCTTGTTCTTAGGTCTGAAGAAAGAGCTAAGATAAAAAAAACAATTTTTTTTTGACCTTTGCAGACTAATAAGGTCTCCTGCGGCTGATCCTCAGGGTACAACTGGTTCATATGTTCTGCGTCTTCGGCACAAATTAGACATTTGTCCACTGTGAGACAGGGTTTCCCATCTTGTGTTACACTCCCTGGAGCTAATTTGAATGCTCAAGTTAATCATGTTCCCTGTGCTGGGATCAGCATTTTGGGACAAACATTATCAAATGAGAAAATGGCCCAGAGGGTTCAGCGTACTGTTGCTATGTCCTCCCTGTTTTTCCCCCTGCAATCCAATGGAAGATTAAAATGTGGGGAAGAAAAATAATCATGTAGAAGTTTGGAGGAATACGCATAGTACCACACGGTGGGGGAACCACCACCTTCCCCCCAAACTAAAACACTGGATTTGTTCTCAGAAGACTTGAGTTTAAATCCTAGCTCTTGCACTAATTAGTTACAGGACTTCGGCAAATTCCATTTACCTCTCAGTTGCTTCATCTGTAAAATGAGGGTGTGAGACAGAGTAGAAATAGATGGTACCTAAGATCTCTGAGAAAAATGATTATTAAATAACAAATTATTGGGGAGATCCCTAACCTTTCCCAAAAATTTAACCCATTTAGACTATCTTATCTAGGTGGAGTTGTTGCCTTATCCGATTAGAAAACTTTACAGAGAATTTAATCTAAGGTGAATCTAAGTGCCTGTGCTGCACTCAGGCAGGTTTGGGCAGGGCGGGGTAGATCTTTTGTCTTGATTGCTCAAGGCTAGGGGTGATTTGGAAGTAAATGACATAATCAAAGTCACATCCCCCAACCTCTCATTAGAATAGGTCTACCTCTCATAATATTCATTCTTCTCATTAATTGTGAACCAATCAGAGTCGACTGCCACCCTCAGGAACACCTACTTTTCCAAGGATTACATGAGTTCCATGAGGGGGTCTTTGGCATTCAAGAGTGTCACTGACCCCTTCTATTGATTATTGTTAGCAAGATTAATAAAATGATTAATTACCCAGAAACTAGGTCTCTTGCACTTTTTATAAATCATATCTCTCTTGACTTTAAATTCTTTGCCATAAGAGGATCAGTGACAATAGATGAAAAAAGGTGGGCTACCACTCTTACCAAGGTCTTTTTCAAGAAAGACATTTTAAAGGAGATAATCATTGGTTGTTTAAGGGAAATCAGAGAAGACTGATCTAACCCCTCTGTTTTACACATAAGGACACTGAGGTTGAGAAGGGCTGAGTGATTTGCCTCACAAAGGAAGGGAGAGGCAGGTCTTCTGATTCTAAGTCCAAAGCTTCTTCCACTAAGTCACTAAACTAAGAGGAAACTATAAAAACTATTTTATCATTAAAATTTTAAATTGGAGGTTAGGCTTTTTATTTTATTTAGGGTTAGACCTATGACATCACGGATATAGGAAGCCGAGTTAAAAAATTTTTTTTTCCTCTTCTAACTGTAGCTGAATCCCTACTCTGTCACTTAAGAGATTCTTGGGGAGGAGGTAGACCTGAGGGGTGAAGTGAATTATCCAGGGTCACAGAGCCTGTGCGTATCAGCAGCAGGACTGAACCAGGGCTGTCTTTCTTTTTGGAACATCACAGGCTTCTTGTGGTTATATCACATAAACAATCTCTGTTGAACTGCCCATCTTCCCAGGGAGTTTACCAACCTATTGTCCACCAAATTTCTTAAAAAGGTCACTAACAAACTAGAGTGTGTTGAGAAAATAATCAGGATTGTAAGATATCTGTTGCTTTAGAGTTTGTTTAGAGCCATTTTTTACAGGTATTTGGAGGGGTTTAGGGGAGAACTCAAGCAAGTCACTGCTTTTACCCCACCATCTTGATTGTAAGATATTTGGAAACAATGCCACAAGAGAAATGATTGAAGGAATTGAGGATGTTTCACCTGGAAGATGAGTAAGTGAGGGAGTAGGCTAGAGATGTCCAAGCATTTGTAAGTGGAATCATTCTGTGTTGCTCTGGGGCATAGAACTAGAATCGGTGGGCAGAATTTATAAGGAGATAAATTTTAGTATTTTTCTTAACAAGGAAGGTATCTAAAATAATAATAATAATAATAATAATAATAATAATAATAATAAATATAACTCATGTATAGAGTATTTTGAGATTTACCAAATGCTTTCTTCCTGTCAAGCCTAGTGGGGCAGGTGCGATTATCACCATAATTCAGGTGAGGAAACAGTCTCAGAGACTTGGGGCTACTTGGCACAAGTCACAAAACACTTATAGACAAAGTCAGGACTCAAACTCAGTCCTTCTCACTCCAAGACCACTGTTTCTTTCTGTGGTACCATTAATGAAAAAGGGTACCTTGTGAAACAAATTGTGCCCTGTCACTGGGGTTAAACCAACAAGAGAAATGGCTACTGGCCAGTGACTAAAAAGCAGGGATCACAGAACTAGGTGACCTCTAAATTCTTTTCGAAGAGTAAGAATCTATAATTTGATGCCTTACCAGAAAGACTAGCAATAGGAAAAAGTAGGCAGGATATGAAGAAAATGACAGAGCGGAGAGGATATTGAATCTAAGAAATATGCTTTCATATTTTTCCTGTAACCTTTGGGTGTTTGGTTAGAGTTTGTGGAAGAGAAAATGATACAAATTTCTACTTTCTGCCACAGGCTAAGAAGGGTCTTCTTAGCCTTCAATGGTGAAAAATAATCAAATAGACATGACCTATTTTTTTTATTATGACTACTTGAACTTTTAAAGAGCAGGAGAAACAAAACACAGCTTGGATGATTGAAGTACACTTGAACTCTGGAAAAAAAAGTTTAGATTAGTTTATTTTTCAACTCTAGACATAAAAAGCAGTAAGTGGTTTTGCTGCTCATTGCAAAAGAATCCCTGAAATTCTAGGATGTGCTATTGCTTTGGCTCAGTTGCCAAAAGACTGAGAAGTCTCCTGTATGGTAGTTACCTGCTTTCCAGTGGTACATTACTGCCAAGGACCCAGCTGTCCTGCAGCTGGACGGACTCGGGTGTGGTTTGCAGCTCGGCGGGCAAAGCAGCCGGCGGGGCCGGACTCTGGTTCCTTCTATTGGTCAGAGAGTTTCTGTTGAGAGAAGTGATGGATGGATGATGCTGTGCAGAATGTTGTTTGTGCGAAGGTGGGAGAGGCTGCAGAGTGGACTGTCCTTGATTATTGGCAGGTTGCTCTAAAAAACAAAAGAGATAAGAAGCCATTATATATTTTTGCATATAGACACACGCACAAACATACACACTACTGATTTCTTGGGGGATCGGCTAAACAGTTGAGTTAGAATTAGAAATGGAATATAATTCCATAGTCTAATATATTTGCATATTATTCTATTAGCGGGTGTTCAGTGACATTCTCTAAGAGCGAGTTTACCCTTGATACACAAAGTTCTAATTAATATACAACAGATGGCAAAATTGCTTTTGGTTTTAATTTGTTTCAGGTTTTTTTTTTCATCTGGTTTTATTAACACCTACAGAAAACAGCATCTGACAGCTCCCCTAATGTGCCTTTAGATCTCAGCTTTTTTTAACAAACCAACCCTGAAATTAAATGGGTAATTTCGGTAGAACACAAAGGTTTTCGAAATGCATATAATCCCGATAATTATTTAATGGAGTTTTTTTAAGCTTTATTTAACTGCAATAAATTATTACAAGCTAGTTGCTAAACAGCAGTAGATGACTCTAGTTTAGTGCATTTCAAATAAGGCAGATCTGCACTATGATCTACTAATAGATGCTAAGTATTCTTTACCAGAAGGTCACTCTGGGAAGCAGATGTTGCTTCATGGATATTTAACAGACTGAATCACATCTGATTACAACGTCAGAAGACTCATATACTTAATGGCCGTTACATCCATTAGAACACACACAGAACAGATTTTCCAATTTCACACTGTGCAGTATCACTACATTTTGAAGTAAGTCATAGGTGACCAGAGATGGTCCCCCATGACAGTGGTGGAAACGAGATGTTACTAAACCACAACTGGCCATAAAGAATCTGACCATTTAAAAAATATATTAATATGACGGTTAGGTTGTAACAGCCAATCAACCTTTGTGGTCGTAATAAAGTTGTAAGTAAAAAACATTATGTTTTCATAGATTAATGGGACATGTGAGACTGACTTTTCAATGACATTATCTGATTCTGCAGCCATATGACAAAATTCTCCCCAAATGACATTTAATTTTTTGAATGATGTTTTTTCTCAATTACATGTAAAGATAATTTTTAATATTCTTCTTAAAAATTCTGAGTTCCAAATTTTCATCCTCCCCCCTTCCCTTTTCCCCTCCCTCCCATCCTTGCTCTCTGAGACACTAAGGACAAAATTACATTTAAGCAAACCAAACATTACATGAGCTAGGGAAAAGACTGTAACTTGGTACTAAACTTAAACTTATTATGCTTCAATCCATAGAAGATGTCAATCTTAGACTAACAACAGTTCAAAGTGCAATATAATTTTAAAGCAATACATTAAGCCATGATATTAATATAAATGCAGGTATTAAAAAAGAGGAAAAGATGCAGGAACTATCCTTCACCCACATTGTGAACACCAGCAGTGATTATTAAACTAGATAAAACTATCTAACGGGGTAATTCTCTCTTTGCTGGAAATGAATCTGTGATATGTAATGGCTTGAATACATACTATCAAACCTCTTAATACTCTTTGCAGGGCACAACAATGAAGGGGAAAAAAACCTCCTCCTCTATTATATTACAACCAGTAATTACTGAATGTTTCTAATGGTCCCTAATAATCCATATCATAGTAATTTAACAACTAATAATTTCTTACTCTTGAACAAAGGGACAGAGGCAACGGCCAGAGATAAGAAGAAAAAGCTGTTTTCTTATATAACCTCTGGCCCTGAGGTCTCCTCTTCTAGGATTTTCAGAAACCCAGCTTGGTTCACTGCTTTGAGACTCATGGAAAATTATAAATGACGAAATCTCAATTACATTGAAATAATAAGCCTTTGAGGGAAAAGCAGGGTTAAAACTGCTCATATAATTCTAATGGGGTTAAAAAAAAAAGGAAACCAACAATTTTAAATTCATGAAAAGACTTAACATTCAGGTGTCGTAGGCTTAATCAGCTTTGTCTTTCCCAGCACCAGTGGGTGTCACTGCATATGATTACAATTGCTATAGAAGGCTTTAAGGCACATTTCAACAAGCTGGTTATAGGATCATTTAACAAGCTACACCTAGCAAAAGCTTTTTTTTTAAGTCTACTTAAAATTTTTGTCTGATGTAGATCATAAGGTAATTTATCAGATGGTGCAGAACTAAATACACCCACTGCATGAAATAATAGAAAATGTAACAAAAAGCAACTTTCACTTCTTTGTAATCAGTCAAAATGAATGTATCAAGTGTCTACCACACACAAGGCCCTACTACGTGCAAAACATTATTCTAGGTAATACAAAGTTTGAGACAGAAGAATAAGTTATGGTCCCTGTCCACCAGGTTTTCCTTATCATTAGGGAGAGAAAATAACACATGCAATTAACAATATAAAATGAGATCTAAGTATATGGTATAATCTCCAGTAGAAAGAAAGTCAACTCCTTGACAGTTGGGGGGGGGCTCATTTTTCTTTTTTCTTTTGTTGTATTGAAGTCCTTAGCACAATGTCTTACATTTTTTGTTGTTGTTCAGTCATTTTTCAGTGATTTTTGACTCTCTGTGACCCCATTTGAGGCTTTCTTGGCAAAGATACTGGAGTGGTTTGCCATTTCCTTCTCTAGCTCACTTTACAGATAAGGAAACTGAGGCAAACAGGGTTAAGTGACTTGCCCAGAGTCACATAGCTAGGAAGTGTCTGAGGCCAGATGTGAACTCAGGAAGATGAGTTTTCTGACTCTAGGCCAGTGTTGTATCCACTGTGCCACCTAGATGTCCTCCACAAAATAAATGCCTAATAAAAGTTTGATGCATTATTGCTGGATGGGAGATGAGAGTCAGGAAGAGAGGAAGTGGTCCAGGAAGTCTTCAGGAAGCAGGTAAAACTTAAACTGGCTGTTGAAACAAGGGCAGGATTTAGATAAGCAAAGAGTGCAGAGGGTATGCCAAGTCTATGGGAAGGTGTATCAAGAATAGAGGAAATAATCAGTGTAAACTTGGAAACTAATGTGATTACAGTATATTTATGTGATGAGACTTGGCTTGTCCAGAGCTGAAGTTTCATTTTGGTGAACAATAAGAAATGTAGTTCAACATATAGGGGAGAAAGAGGCAATTCCAAGGGCAGATGATAGAAGGAATTGGAAGCAAGAAAGAAGAGGTTAGATAGGACTTTAGGAAACAGGGAGCTATTGAATGCTTTTAATCAGGGTGAATACATGTGTGTGCATGTGTTTATATGTGATTCTATATATACATATACATATATATGTATATATATGTGTATGTGTGTCTATATATATATATATATATAGACACACATATAGTAGAACAGAGCAAAGAAAGCCTACATTCAGGCCAAGTAGGAAGCTTTCATAATAATTGAGCCTGGGGGTGATGAGGAAATAGGAATTGAAAGAAAGGGATGGGTACTGGAAACAATTCCAAGAGAAGGTTAACAGGACTCAAAAACTTCCTATATATTGGAGAGATGAGGAAAAAGAATGTGTCAAGATAACAGTAAGCTAGGGGCAGCTAGGTGGTACAGTGGATAGAACATTGACCCTGGAGTCAGGAGGACCCGAGTTCAAATCCAGCTTCAGACATTTACTAGCTAGCTAGTAAATTTTATTTAGAGGTAGCCACCGTTGCCTCTAAAATAAAAAAAAAACAAACACAGGATAACAGTAAGCTTCCTACTCAGAGTACCTGGGTGCCCTGGGAGAATATCAATGCTGCTGACCAAAAGAGGGAAATAAAAAAAATTAAATTTTTTTTTAACATTTCATTGTTATAAAATTAAACGTAGTTAACTATCATAGATGCTGTGACATTCCACAAAGTAGTTTCATTGAACGATAGCTCCTATGAAGACTTTCAGGTGCACTTCCTGTAGACTCCAAATCCCATCCTCTTTCCACTGTACCATGGTGACATGATAGTTATCTTTGTATATTTGCAGGGTTGTGCTATGAAAGATCTAGATGTGGAAGAGCCCTCTGAAGCTATCTGGTCCAACCCTCTCCATTTACGGATGGAGAAATGGAGATCCAGGGATAACTGACTCATCCAAGATCACACAGGTAATAAGCATCGGAGCTGGAATTTGAATCCAGGTCATTTGACTTGGGAGTCAGTGCTCTCTCCTACACTATGTTCCTTAAATGATTTTGAAAAATTAACATAATGGGTTAAAAACAAACTTGTCTTTAAGCTTCTGAATTGACCGCCTTATCATGCAATCATGCAACTTATCATCCCTGAAATTTCCCAGCACAAAACACTCCTCCCGACACTGTATGAGTTGTCTTCCCTTATTAGATTGTAAGCTCAATTAATTGCTTCTCATATTTATATGGTCCAGTGCTGGTCCCTTCCTTGCTCCCTCCCTTTCTTCCTTCCTTCTTTCCACTGTGTAGGTTTCCATGGCTTCATTTGCATTATCTGATCTATCAGAGCAAAGATGGTGAGCATCTTGACTGATTGGTTCCTTTTTCATTTGGATGCACAATTAATGAATTAATAAAAATAAGACACATGGGCACTGTGAATCCAGAAGGAGACTCTGAGAAAAGACTAGGATTCCAAGGCAAAATAGAGTTGTTGTTGATGCTGGTGGTGGTGGTGGAGCTGCTGGTGGTGATAGTTCAGTCGTGTCTGACTCTTCATGACCCCATGGACCATATTTTCCATGGGAATTTCTTGGCAAAAGATACTAGAGTGATTTGTCATTCCCTTCTTCAGTGGATTAAGGCAAACAGGTTAAGTTACTTGCCCCACCAAGTCACCTAGCTGCCTCCTGCAAAATGGAGGGAAGAGGATAAAATATAACATCTGTGTAGATAAATTGGGGTTCTTGTTCAGAGATCCAGACTGGATAGAAAGGGCACAAACAGAAGCAGGATCAGAATATGCTGGCAGAGGCTGTTTGCTAAGCTTCTAACCAGGTAGAGAACAGCATCTGAAGTGAAGGACTGGTGTGTCAGGCTCTGGGATAAGCATGCAGGTCCATATCACAGA